ATGGGCCCCTGCATTCTCCAGGTGCTTAAAAATGGCATTCAATAGGAACAATTTTGCATCATCAACTCCTTTCTTGGGTTGATACGCAAATTGCAGTGGATCCAGTTGTCCTTCTGTTAAGGAGAGAATGTGAGTCTTTAAAATGTGCTCAAGGCTTTTCATAACCAGTGAGGTTAAAGCAACTGGTCTGAAATCACTCAAATCCTTTGAGTTCTTGGATTTGGGAAGAGGTATCACTGTTGACGTTTTCCACAGCGATGGAATCTGACAAAGGTCAATACATTTTTGGAATAAAAAACAAAACACACCGCTGAGCTGAGAGGCACAATGGTACAAAGTGCAACCACAAATTGCATCTGGGCCTTTGGCTTTCCTGATCTTTGTTTTTTTAAAAAGAGCCTCGACCGTGTTTTGTGAAACCTCAATTTCATTCAAAGGCTTAATTGATCTCCTGCAATTATTAATATCATCTGAAACATCATTTCTTTCAAAACGAGTAAAAAATGAATTAAAAAGCACTGGGCAAGTCGGTATCAGACACACTCTTAACAATGACAGGTTTTCTGTCTTCCTTCTGATGACCAATGGAGGCCATGTTCTTAATCCCTCTCCAGGCTGCTCTTATGTCCCCACTACTGTACTGAGCTTCCACTTTGTCTCTGTAGCTTAACCGGGCTTTCCTTATTTCTGTTTTTACTTCCTGTGAAGCATATTTTTTCTCCATCTGGTCACCAATACAATAGGCCATTTTCTTTCTATTTATAGTTGATTTCAGATCTTTAGTCACCCAAGGCTTGTTATTCGGATAAATAACTACCTTCTTTGAAGGGACAACTGAATCAACACAGAAAGTTACATATGCAGAGATTGTATCACACAATACATTGATATCATCCCCACAAGCATTATAAAAGCAGTCCCAGTCTGTACAGCATATATATATAATATATACACTACATATTATATATTACCTAATTATATGCTAAATTAAAGTAAAGTGCTTTAAGCCTGGCCTTAAATGTGGAGACCGTATCTGCTTCCTTAATATAAATGGGAAGCTGATTCCACAGTAAAGGAGCTTGGTAGCTAAATGCTCTGCCACCAACAGTGACCTTTGAGACCTTAGGGACCACCAGACGTCTGGCGTTTTGTGAGCGCAACGCTCGACTTGGTTGATACGACACTAACGTGTCTTGGAGATAAGAAGGAGCCAAGCCATTTATGGCTTTATATGTTAAGAGTAGGATTTTAAACTTTATTCTGTACTCCACAGGGAGCCAGTGGAGTGATTTTAACACCGGAGTTATGTGCTCCCTCCTTTTGGTACCTGTTAAGATCCTAGCTGCTGTATTCTGAACGAGCTGGAAGCTCTTCAAAGAGGCTTTAGGGCACGCTGCCAGTAAAGCGTTACAGTAGTCGAGCCTTGAGGTGACAAACGCGTGAATGAGTTTTTCCGCGTCACTTTTAGGAAGGAAATTCCTAATTTTAGCGATGTTCCGTAAGTGGAAGTACGCCGTTTTAGTTGCTTGGCTTATATAAGCCTTGAAGGAGAGTTCTTGGTCAAAAATGACTCCAAGATTCCTCACAGTGTTACTGGGTATTATACTGACATTATCGAGAGTAACCATCTGGTTAGTGAGGGAGTCACGCAGGCGCTTCGGACCGAGTAGGATCACTTCTGTCTTCTCCGGGTTGAGAAGTAGGAAGTTAAGAGTCATCCACATTTTAAGGTCCTTTATGCAGGCACTGAGCTTTTCTAGCTGATCTGTCTGGTTAGGCTTCATCGACAGATAAAGCTGTGTGTCATCTGCATAGCAGTGGAAATTAATTCCATGCTTTTTAATAATGTTTCCCAGTGGCAGCATGTAGAGAGTAAAAATAATCGGTCCGAGTACCGAACCCTGCGGCACACCGAATTCCACTCCAGAATAAGGCGACGAGTCCTGATTCACATTGACGAAGGGATATCGATCTGATAAATAGGATTTAAACCAGCCAAGGGCTGTTCCTCTAAGACCTATATCACATTCTAGCCTCTTCAGTAGAATGCTGTGGTCTATTGTGTCAAATGCAGCACTAACACTAACACACGCACTGACACTTGTCCATTATCGGCAGCTAGTAGTAAGTCATTTGTGACTTTGACTAGTGCCGTTTCAGTGCTATGATGAGCTCTGAATCCTGATTGAAAGACTTCAAACATATTATTTTCCTGCAGGTGGCAGCGGAGCTGCTCAGCTATAAGTTTTTCCAGGATTTTAGATATAAAAGTGAGGTTTGAGATCGGTCTGTAGTTTGTAAGTATTTCTGGGTCCAGGTTTGTTTTCTTCAGAAGGGGTTTGATTACCGCGGTTTTAAAAGCTTGTGGGACATAGCCACATTGTATGGATGCGTTTATTATATTTACGATAGGCTCAATTATCAAAGGAAGTATGTCTTTGAAGAGCCATGTCGGGACTGCGTCTAACATGCAAGTTGAGGCTTTTGAGGATGTGACCACAGAGATCACCTCTGCTTGGCTCACAGCCATGAATTTATCAAGGCCCACTGAAGAGTCTAAGTGGGAAGTCACGTATGCCGCTTCAACCTGTCCACCACTAACAGCAGGAGTAACCTCCTCCAGTTTGTCACGGATGGATGTAATTTTATTATTAAAGAAGTGGAGAAAGTCGACACTGCTCAGTGAGCTTGGAATTTTAGGCTCGATTGCGCTATGGCAGTTTGTGAGTTTAGCGACGGTGCCAAACAAAAATCTACTGTTGTTTTTATTCGCTTCTATTAAAGTTGAATAGTATTGAGTTCGAGCCCCGCGAAGGGCCTTCTTGTAGTTTCGGAGACCTGCTTTCCACTCCCTGTGGACAGGCTCCGAGTGGGAGTGGCGATATAGCCTCTCCAATTTTCTGACGTCCTGTTTTAAAGTGTGGAGTTGAACACTGTACCAGGGCGACGATGATCTAATCCTAATGGTTTTCTGTTTTAAAGGAGCTGCTGCATTTAATGCAGATTTTAAAGACTCCATAGTGTTGCCCACCGTTTGGTCAATGACTGAGGGACTGCAGCTGCTGTGAACAGGTTCACCTGCAGCAGTATTCAACATAGGCTGTATTAGTTCTTTGAACCTTGTGATAGATTTATCATTTAAGGTTCTTTTCATTATGGTTTTATCTTGCGGGACAGGAAAGTCCTCCAAAGCGAGATCAAACGTGATCAAGAAATGGTCAGACAGCAACGAGCTTTGACGCTGGATGTCAACATTGGAGACATCACAGCCGTAGGTCAGGACAAGGTCCAAGGTGTGGTTATGAATGTGAGTAGGTTCCTCGACATTCTGAGTAAAACCAACACCATCTAGTACGGCGCTGAAAGCTTTGTTTAAGCTGTCAGTGCTGTCGTCCACATGTATATTGAAGTCTCCAGCTATAACTATGTTTTCCCATTCCAAAACTAGGTTTGAAATGAAGTCAGAGAATTCTGTTAGGAACTCGCTGTAAGGACCAGGAGGTCGGTATAAAACTATAAATAGTACTGCTTTTTGTTTTCTCCACCCAGGACAGGTGATTGAAAGTGTTAAGTTTTCAAACAAGTGAAAAGCGTTGTTGGTTTTGGGACTAAGAACCAAGTTGGTGTGTGATATAATCGCAACACCACCGCCGCGACCTGTAGCTCTGGCTTTCTGGTAGTTAACATGCGTCGGAGGAGTGCACTCATTCAATCTAACGTACTCGTCCTGTTGGAGCCAAGTCTCCGAGAGCGCAAACAGATCCAAGCCCTTGTCTATAATAAGTTCGTTTATGAGAAGCGATTTAGACGAGATTGATCTGACGTTCATTAAACCACATTTAACAACCCTACCGCTAGAGCTATTTCTGTCTGTCTGAACTTTTATTAAGTTACTGTGTCTGACACCTAGGTCAGATTTCCTCGCATATAGTGCTTTAGACTTCAAGCGGGGAACACACACAGTTTCAATCTGACTAGGTTCTGAGGCTAGTAACTGAGCACACACAGGCATACACATACATTCACACACAGTTTCAATCTGACTAGCTTCTGAGGCTAGTAACTGAACAGATGGGGGCTCAGAGGTTGTGGCAGAGCAGCTTTGCACCCGGGCCTCAGTTCTGCATCGTCATTTGAGCCGAGCAGAACAGTTTAGAGCCAGGGCCAAATTCTTAGCCAAAAGGGATGTACCCGCCAACGTTGGGTGGATATCATCCGAGCGGATGAGACCGGGCTTTCCCCAAAAGGCATTCCAATTGTCAACATGAACAACACCACTTCGAGGGCACCAGCCAGACAGCCAGCGGTTGAAAGCCGAGTGTCTGCTGAATGCTTCTGCACTGCTAGTGCTAGGTAGGGGCCCAGAGAAGATGACAGTGTCGGCCATTGTGCTAGCCAGCTTGCACACGGCGGCGACTTGCAGCTTCAACACCTCGGACTGTTTCCGCCGAACGTCATTACCACCCGCGTGAATAACAATTGGACGGAAACGCTGCTTGTGGGTCATCATGAGCCTCAGATTCCCTTCAATATCACCAAGCCTGGCCCCAGGGAAGCACCGAACAGTGGCTCCTGGGATCTTAACACCTCTAACAAAAGAGGAGCCAATTACCAGCGCATCAGCGACTCCATCGGCTCTCTCAGCAGCTCTCTCAGCGGCTCTCTCAGTGGGGCCTTCTTCCCCGCCCGGCCGCGCGGGTGCGCAGCCGGACAGAGCGTCCCAGCGATTGTAAATGCTAACAGGAGGAGGCCCAATGGGGAAACTACCAACAACACGTCGCCCTTTCCGAACAGTCACAAAGCCATCACTATCCTGGTCTTGTTCCAGCTGCGGAGGACGGGCTGGGAGGCTAGGCTCGCTAGTTCTCCTCTGCCTTTCCCTAAAGCTGCGCTCCGCTGTCCCCGAGGATACGGCCTGACTGTAGCTAATGCTAGCGCTAGCTCGAGACTCCAGTGCTCCGAGACGCAGCTCTAACTCACTGATGAGCCTTGATACCTTGATGAGCGTACGGAGAGCGTTGAGTCTGTGGGGGGCGGCGGTCCTTTACCCCCTCATCATCGTCACTTACTCCGTCAGTCTGACCACGCAGCTCGCCCTGTGGGGATACAAGCTACACAGAATCTTCTGCGCCAACAGACCCATCGTGAACCACGCCTGCGGAGAAACACTGCACAGTATGATAGCATCCCTCATTTTCTTTAGTAGTAGTAATCTTTGTTTATATACCGCCTTTTCACTGCACATCGGAGTCTCAAAGCGGTTTACAATTGTTATTTTTTGGGAGTGGGGGTGCCAGTACAGGAGGCACATGCCAGACCTATTGTACATATTTTTAGTGGTAGGGGAAACCGGAGCACCCGGAGGAAACCTACGCAGACACGGGGAGAACATGCAAACTCCACTCAGAAAGGCCCTGGTCCAACCGGGATTTGAACCCAGGACCTTCTTGCTGAGAGGCGAGAGTGCTATCCACTCAGCCACCGTGCCGCCCACTGGCACCGTCTTTACCACTGTCTCCGTGCCTCTGTTCACCGTGCTTTACTCCTACGTGCGCATTCTCGTGGTGTGCAAAAGAAGCAACTCTGAGGTGAGACGTAAGGCTGTGCAGACCTGTGTCCCGCACCTGGTGACCTTTGTGGTGTACTGCTGCTCTGTGTTTGTGGAGATGGCGATCTCGCAGTTCAACAGGGGTCAGATCAACCCTGTGGTGGCGGCCATCATCTCGCTGGAGTATCTGATGGTGCCGTCCATAAATAACCCTTTGATCTACGGCCTGAAGCTGCCCCAGTTCGTCTTGCAGCTGTAATTGCAGCAAAAGGTGGCGCTACAAAGTATTAGCGCAAGGGGGCCGAATAATATTGCACGCCCCACTTTTCAGTTTTTTATTTGTTAAAAAAGTTTAAATTATCCAATACATTTCGTTCCACTTCACGATTGTGTCCCACTTGTTGTTGATTCTTGACAATTTTTTTTCAAATATATCTTTATGTTTGAAGCCTGAAATGTGGCGAAATGTTGAAAGGTTCAAGGGGGCCGAATACTTTCTCAAGGCACTGTAACTACAGCTGAGGTGGGAGAGTCTGTCCATAGGACAACAATCAGTCGTGCACTGCACAAATCTGGCCTTTATGGAAGAGTGGCAAGAAGAAAGCCATTTCTCAAAGATATCCATAAAAAGTCTTGTTTGCCACAAGCCACCTGGGAGACACACCAAACATGTGGAAGAAGGTGCTCTGGTCAGATTAAACCAAAATCGAACTTTTTGGCCACAAGGCAAAACGATATGTTTGGCGTAAAAGCAACACAGCTCATCACCCTGAACACACCATCCCCACTGTCAAACATGGTGGTGGCAGCATCATGGTTTGGGCCTGCTTTTCTTCAGCAGGGACAGGGAAGATGGCTAAAATTGATGGGAAGATGGATGGAGCCAAATACAGGACCATTCTGGAAGAAAACCTGTTGGAGTCTGCAAAAGACCTGAGACTGGGACGGAGATTTATCTTCGTCCCAGTCTTATTATCTTTATCTTTATCCAACAGGACAATGATCCAAAACATAAAGGCAAATCTACAATGGAATGGTTCACAAATAGACGTAGAATGGCCAAGTCAAAGTCCGGACCTGAATCCAATCGAGAATCTGTGGAAAGAGCTGAAGACTGCTGTTCACAAACGCTCTCCATCCAACCTCACTGAGCTCGAGCTGTTTTGCAAGGAAGAATGGCCAAGAATTCCAGTCTCTCGATGTTCAAAACTGATAGAGACATACCCCAAGCAACTTGCAGCTGTAATTGCAGCAAAAAGTGGCGCTACAAAGTATTAGCGCAAGGGGGCCGAATAATATTGCACGCCCCACTTTTCAGTTTTTTATTTGTTAAAAAAGTTTAAATTATCCAATAAATTTCGTTCCACTTCACGATTGTGTCCCACTTGTTGTTGATTCTTGACAAAAAATTTAATTTTTATATTTTTATGTTTGAAGCCTGAAATGTGGCGAAATGTTGAAAGGTTCTGTAATCGGAGCGAGTGAGGAACCAGCGTCTCTTCAGGATCTAACCCTAGGAGGCGCCTTTACCTTGCTCTATAACGCAGACTCCCTAGTAGGGCCTGGCTTTCGGTAGCGCTAGTCCCGACCTGCCTCGTGCTGGGTCTAAGGCTAGCTAAGTTTTGTCCCTGCCTAACGTTTTTCCCCTTGGTGTGGCTAATCCGTAGAGAAGCAGAAGCTCTAGGTGCGATATACCAAAATCAGTCTACTTTTACTACTCACCTCAGCCTAGGGCCGCCCTGCCCTGTCCAAACGTTCTTCAAGGAAGGTTTTCAGAAAGTGTGAAGCGGAGTCGGAAAGTTGTCTTTCGTGAGTCGGGGCGACTCTTTTATTTGAAGCCAAGCAAGCAAATCGGCAATCCAAGTTTACAGAGTTACAAAGATCTCGCACCACAAGTCACTCTCACAAGGACCCCTGAATGAAAGCCTCCGGCTGCTCTCGTCTGCGCCGCGCGCTGCCCGACAGACTGACTCTCTCGGAGTCTTCCTTTTTATAGCGCATGCAGCCTTCAAGCAGCGGAAAGCCCCCTTAGCATTAAGGATGACCTCATTCAGGAAGTACATGTACATATATGGGCAAGGAAGGAAATGCATATATGGTCATGGCAGGAAGGATGTACATATTTGGTCCTGCTGCTTGTATGAACTGTCCCCCAGTTATTTGAACTTTCCCCTAGATAGCACAGAGGCTGCGCAGAGGAATGAACTTTTACCCAGTTATCTGAACTTTCCCCTAGATAGCACCGAGGCTGCGCAGAGGAATGAACTTTTACCTACTTAAATGAACTTTGGCCCAGTTCTTAAGCATATACGATCCTTCCTTGCCGTGAACTTTAACACACTTAAATGAACTTTAACCTAGTTAGCATAATGTTACATAAATCACATTAAATCACATTACATTTTATCAAATCACATTACTGACCATCAGGATCACTATTTAACGCATTTTCCTTACGTTTCACACATGATTATAAAATGTTATTTTGTATTACATCACAAAATCATATTTTGTATTACATCCTCCTTTTGAAACTTTAAGGAAAATCACTTAACGTCCACTATTCAGAGTCCTCAGGGAGCCGCTTCGATCCGTAAGCTACAGGCTCCGGCAGAGTTAAATCCGGGCACTCTTCCTCCAGCAGCCGGTTAAACTCCCTCATGAAGTCCTCATAGCCATAGGAGGTATGAGGTCAGTGAACTGCACAGGTATTGGTTCCCCGGATTCAGGTGGGGCCACAGCATCGGCTACCATTGGGACCTCAGACTCAGGCACCGTCACGTTCGTAGCCTCAGGTTCAGGCAAGTCCATAATCACATCAGGGAACACCTCATCTTCTATTGGAGCACACCAGGACGATGGGCTCAGAGGTTCAGGGATCGGGGGTGTTGGCGATGGCACCAGGCCTCGGAAGTTAAAGTGAGGTTCTTCATCCAGCTTAGGCATTGGCTGGACAACTGAAACCTGCCTCTCAAAGTCCATTGAAATGTCCATGGAATCATACCTGACCCTTTTAGCAGGGACGGGGTAAGGAGAGCCCCTGGTCTTTTTTATCAGCAAAGGGATAAGAAGAATCCCTTGGGCTTCTCTCAGGGTAGACGCGCCCTGGTCCATGCAGTCCCTCAGCAGCAAGCTTCCGGAGAAGTTCTTTACCCCCAGCTATCATGGATATCATTAACGTTCCTCGGATTCTTAACTGGGGACTTTCGTTGAAGTTTTGGCTTAATGTCGGGAATCGGATGGCGGGATCCCCTTGGCTCCTTAGTAGGGATGAGCCCGTGGAAGTCTCCTGACCTCCTAGCAGGGACAGTATAAGGGGAGCCCCTATTCTTCTTGAGAGTTGCCTCCCATTTGTGAGCGGCTCTTCTCGGGTCTGTGGCTCGATCGACAGGCCTGGATCCCCTCAGTTCGATTACATGCTCCACAGGTTCAGTCTTGATCACTGGGAGACCTGCCCTAGCATGGGCGTCCCCTAGGGCCGACAGCTCCTCGGCTCATCTGGCAGTAGTGATGATCAGGTGCTCGTTGTAGGGGTTGATTCCGCCCACAGTGATGTGGTTTCTCCACGCCGGTCTACCTTTGCCCCGGTAATCAAGGGGGCCCTCAGACCAAGGCAGCCCCACCTTGCTTGTAATGACAGAGGGCAAGCACACCAACTGCCCGTACACCATCACAGGCCTCAGCTTCACGGTGCAGTCCGATCCTCTGGTCATGCTGCACCGCCGGATTGGTCCTTTCAGGGCACGACCGATGTTACTGCCTTCGTGCTCCAGGTCAGTAAAGGAGCAGCTTGGAAACTCAAAGGGCGTGAAGATGCGTTGTCCCTTCAGCGTGAATGGCTCCACCAACTCCACCATGGCTATGCCCATCAGATCCTTGCGTATAAGGCTTTGGCCCTCCTTAATCACTGTCAAGCCAATGTGACCAGGATGCCAATGTAGGTCACTAATGAATATGGCAGGCCCTTACTATCTAGGCTCATAACTACACATTTGAGCCCTTTCTTAGTCTCTACAATGATACCCTTGGTTTGCACAAAGGTACCTTTAAATGTCTCCTTCTGAAGCCTATTGCAAAGAACAGGTTCATCCTGCATCAATGCAATAGCCCTCCTGGAGCTATGTGGCTTGATATTAACCCATTTTTGGTACTTCTTTCGGGGGTCGATGTGGCTGGAACAGAGAGGTAAGACCGAGCCAGCATGCCAGATTTGGAAACCATGCCTCATTTTCTTTCCACCGGTGGCTGAGTGGATAGCACTCTCGCCTCTCAGCAAGAAGGCACCTGGGTTCAAGAATCCCGGTCGGACCAGGGCCTTTCTGAGTGGAGTTTGCATGTTCTCCCCCGTGTCTGCGTAGGTTTCCTCCGGGTACTCCGGTTTTCCCCTACCACTAAAAATATTCCAATAGTTCTAGCATGTGCCTCCTGTACTGGCGACCCCACTCCCATCTCTGTGTGGAGTGAGAGAAAAATGCCCAAAAATTAACAATTGTAAACCGCTTTGAGACTCAGATCTGCAGTGAAAAGGCGGTATATAAATAAAAAACTTACTACTACTACTACTTACTTACTTAAACATTCATCTGCAGTGAGGAATTTCAGCTTCCTGAATCGTGGGTCAAGTGCAGCTGCTAATATGCACACATTGACATTTGGTCCATCATCCTTGAATGTGGTCTCTCAGCTTCCCACCTGGATGTTATCTCATGTGCAGCAGTGACCTGAAAACACTTTTTTTTTTTTTTTAAGTTTATTTGCAGACAAAAAAAGAAGACATACAAAACAACAGTGATACAAAAACATACATAGACATTCAGGTGACATAAAGGTGAACATACAGGTAGACGCACAGGTAGACGAACGGTAGATATACAGTTAGGGAAACAGGTATTGGCGGTAAAAAAGGGATTGAAGGGGGAAGGAAAAATTAGATAGTCAACATCGGCGGTAACATAGGATTCTTTAGTTGGAGAGAATGTCTCTATGTCTCCCATAGAGTGCTCTTGGGACATTTTTCATCATTTGAGTATGTTTTCTTTTAAAATAGAACAAAAGAAATCTTCTTCCATTCTGATTATTGTTGTGTACAAGCCGCCACAGTCATGCCATATTTCACTGATCATTTCACTGAGTTGCTTCAGTTGTGTGCACAGATTTGATGGTTTGTCATTGTAGGTGATTTCAATATACATGTAGATAATGCTAATGATAGATATGCAATAAGCTGAGCTCTGTGCTGGAAACCTTTGGTCTCACTCAGCATGTGAGTGGCCCCACCCACACAGAGGACACACTCTCGATCTGTTAATTACCAAGGGGGTTAATATTTCAAATGTAAATGTGGTCAATGTTGCTCTGTCTGATCATTTCTGTGTATTTTTTGACATGTGTCTTGATTGTAAACCACCACGCTGAATCTTCGGTTGTTAGAAGAAGACACATAAATGATAATACAGGCGAACTGTTCATGGGGAGGGTAAACTTTGAGAACACGTTGTGTGTTACTGTAGATGAATTACTTGATTCTGTCACCACCACTGTTTTGAATGTTCTGGATACCAATTGCTCCTGTAAAGGTTAAAATAGTTACAAACAAGCAAAAAGCCGCCATGGACTAAAGCCAGAACTCGGTCAGGCACAGAAGAGAGAGTGCCGAAGGCCGAGCGGAAGTGGCGAAAGTCAAATCTCAAAGTTGACCATGAGATCTTCAAAGATGCGTTGTGCAATTTTAACAGGGAACTACGTAGAAGGGAAATGTACTTTTTCTGAAACTATTGAAGGCTGTAAGCAACAATCTACGTGTTCTGTTTTCAACAGTAAATAGATTGACGAATCCCCCTGTTAAAATTAAGATGCCAATCAGAACTTACTTCCAAATCTACAAATGTAAATGAGTTTGCCCTCAGTTCTTAATGACAAAGTCCAAGTATCACAGGCAGCCTGTATGTATTACCTCCTAGATTTCTCCAAGTCAGTTCGGAGCAGTCATTTACCTTAACTTACACAAAGGGTTAATATGTCTCTTGAATCTGGAATTCCCAAAGGCCTTGAAAACGCGGTCATCAGGCCCTCCTAAAAAAGAGGAGTCTGAGCCCAGGCACTCAAAAATTACGGCCCATTTCAAATCTGCCTTTACATGGGAAAAATTCTAGAAAAAGTTGCCTAAAACAACTACAAATTTTTAATAATCAATAACGCTTATTAATGTTCCAGTCAGGTTTAGACCCCAACCACAGCACTGCGACCGCGCTAATCAAATAACAAATGACAGATCAAACTAAACACTGACGCAGGACTAGTCTCAGTCCTTTTTTCTTTAGATTTAAGTGCTGCTTTTGACACTATTGATCATGCAACCTCATTCAGAGACTTGAGGACTGGGTTGGTGTGGCTGGCACCGCCCTAGCAGTAGGATCCTATTTAAACAGAGACAGAAAGTTTTTTGTGGAGATCGAAAACTGTACCACAGACCACTTGGCCCTGACCAGCGATGCCACAGGGTCAATCCTGGGTCTCCTCTGTTTAAAATTTACATGTTGCCTACAAGTCCATTGCATTCACAGTAATAATGTCTCTTATCACAATTACGCTGACGAATACTCAGTCTATGTGGTCCCTGACAGCAGGAAGCATGAACCAGAGAGATTCCCCCCCCTCGCTCCTCACTGTGTCGCGAAATCGGTGATTGGATGCCAAATAACTTTCTCCAACTAACACCGACTCAAACAGAATTATTGTTTTCGGACCCCAGAACAAGAGAGAGCGTTATTTGTCACCTCCAGGCTCTCTCTCTACAACCCACAAATCAGGTCAGAAATCTAGGAGTGATAAAGGACTTCAGACTTAAATAATTCAAAAGCCACATAAAATCTGTAAACATACAGCAGCTATACCACCTAAAAAACTTGCTAAAATAAAAAACATAGTGTCTAAGGCCGAACTTGGAGACCTTATACACGCTTTTGTCTCCATCCTTGACTATTCAATGGCCTGCTCACAGGTCTGTCCAAACAGCTGTAAAACAGCTGCAGAACAATTCCACATGCAGCACTCGATCACTGACCAAACAAGGAAGTACGACCACATTAGTCCCGTTCTCCAGGTCTCTGCACTGGCTTCCTGTTTCCTCAGAAATATACTTCAAAGCAGCTTACATGTGTACAAGTCTCTCCATGGCTCGCGCCAAGGTACAAACCATGAACAGTTTGTGCCATCATGAACCGACCCGGAACTCTGAGGAGCCACAGGGACAGGACTCCTGTTAGTGCCCAGAGATTGGTACAAACATGGCAAACAGCATTTCAGATTCATGCGGCTAGAGTCTGGAACCGCTTCTAGAGAATTTAGACAGGCGTCACTCTGGCATCTTTTAAATCTAGCTCAAAAACAAATCTGTTTAGCTGCGCATATAAACCAACTGAATGATTTTATCCTTTTCATCTTGTTTTTATCTTTAATCTTTTTTAATGCACTGTGAATATTTATGATTTTAGTCCCCATCTGTGATGTTAATTTTAAAGGTTTTAAATTTTTGTGATTTTATTTTAATGTTTTTTAATATATTCTTGTGCGCTTAAATGTTGATATATGCTTGATGTGATAGGTGATTGAAGCGCTTGCTTGCCTTGTGTAGAAAGGCGCTCTACAAATAACCGTTGATTGATTGATTGAGATAGAAGCGAAATAAAGAGTGACAAAATTTGCACATCCTATCACCCCCACAAACACATCATGTATACCGAATGTGCCTACATATTGCACATAAACACACAAACACCCAATACACACCACATACATCCATATATACACATATACATATACGTACACACATATACCCATACCCTTAATACCACCCACATAACGCGTATCTATCACACGATATACAAACATACACATACATATTGACTACAATATGCATACATATATAACTAACCCCGTGCACTATACACATCTATACACCTCATTCACATATACAAGAGAACATAAAATAACAAGTTGGGGTGGTGATAACAATAATAACAATCAGTAAGAGCAAAAGTGCAGGGGGACTGTAACAAGAAGGTGTGTGGATCATTATTAATAAGCGTTATATTACATTTATTTATTTATTTATTTTTTAATGAATTAATTTTTACTCGTGGTGTAGTTGAGTACAAGCAGGCGTGTCCCCCCCCCCCCCGACCTCCAGATCATCTCTCTTCCAGCACACCCCAGACGACCATTCCTGGCGGCTCGCTGCCCATTTTTTGTGATTGTGAAAAGGTTTTCTTTTATCTTTCCCCTGTTTAATGAAGTGCATTAAAATAAGCTTCGAGCTTACCCTATTCTCAGTGTATGCTGTGTTGGCCCTGAACTAGTGTTTCATTAAAAACAGAGCAATCATGGCCATGTGATGGTACTGGAGGGACGAACTGAAGATGAGAGGAGTAAGCCGCCCAGACCGCACAACCAACTACCCCACTTAGATTTCATCAATTTCAAATAGTTAAATTCTGATATTATATAAACAACGATAAGAATATTAATATAGAAATATCATTAATATCATTATTATTATTATCCATCACTGCTAGTTGATAAAATACATAGTTTCTAAATACATAGATAACCTACCACCTACCACACAACCACCACCCCACACTCAAACATACACACTAAATTAAGTTATATTGTGTTTTTTATTTTTATTTCTTTCCATTCCTTCGCTTCTTTCCCCTACATCCTCTTTTTGATGTACATGTAGGTTTTTTATATCAGTGGAGATTAAAATGTATTGTAATTTGTAATCATTCTAAACAATTTGAAGTCATGACTTGTAGTCAGCACTTACCAGTGGTTTGTAAGCGTGCGCTTCAGTGTGCTCCTCTGTGATTGGCTGCAGCCTAATGAACCACACACTTGCACCTTTTCTAGCCTGACACCTGATTTCCTCTGTTGTGCTGCTCCATGATTGGCTCCAGCCTCTGTTGTGCTGCTCCATGATTGGCTCCAGCCTCTGTTGTGCTGCTCCATGATTGGCTCCAGCCTCTGTTGTGCTGCTCCATGATTGGCTCCAGCTCTGTTGTGCTGCTCCATGATTGGCTCAGCCTCTGTTGTGCTGCTCCATGATTGGCTCCAGCTGCTGGACTGAAATTGCCCAGTGTGCCCTCCTTGATATCCCGCAACCCACCACCAGGGTTCCGACACATAACACACTTTTTTCAGGAAAGTAAACCTCCAGGGGTCCTTTCCATATTTTTACAGAGACTGCATAAGGACCGTTAGAAAAGCATTACCATTGATTATTAAGCTTGGACCAGTGGGGTCCGGTGTTCGGGCCCCACCACGTAAAACCAGTCCCCATGACGTGAGTGGAATCTCAGGTTATGGAACCCACCAGGAGTTGAAAACAAGTGCACTGCCACACACACACACACACACACACACACACACATACACGTTTTTGTTACCTGGTGGGTCCCTTTGACAGGGCCGTTCAGAATGGGACCCATAGACATAATCTTTTTTTACCAAGACTTTAAGTAATACAAAACAGTCAATAGAAACCAAACAACTATTTTAAAGGAATTTTATTTTAGATTTTGTTTTCGAATTGCAGTGATTCTATTTTTGACATAGAATTTAATGCCACTCCATGTCCGATGTCTAAGGTCATCTGGTGAGGCATTAATGCAGGCCAGGCCAGGCCAGGCCATGGCCAGGCGGTGAGACTCTCCAGGGACCTTTCCAGTCTGTATGAAAGTGTCATGGTCTTCTCCACAGCCTTCACCTCAGATGCAGACCATGGCTTTCTCCTACACGTTCTAGGGAGAGATAAAGAAAAAATATATTAGCAATATACACTCCCAGGGTGAGGACCATGCAGCCTGGCTGTAATCCCCCACCTGGTACACTTACCAGAAGGGGCACTGCCACTACCATGGGGTGCAGCTGGATGAATGGTTGAAGGTTCTCCGCTTGAAGTTTCTTTTAGCCCGTCCCGTTTGTGAGAGGATCTCTACTGCTCTCCCTGTCGCTCAGAAAATAAAAATACAAGTGGCCTTTAGGGGAAAAAAATCATACATATTTTAAATAATATCAAGAATTACCTTCAGGCTGCAATTTGTATCTGGTCGAGGCTCTTTCCTTCGAATTCCGTCACTCTTCCCTGCTCCATGGCCATCAACACTTTGCTGATTTTGGCCAGCTCCAGTGTCCCCTCTGGTAGTCTGTAATATTGCCTGTGGATGCGAATGTCATGGCCGAGGAAGTTGGCAAGTATGTCCATCTCATTCTCTTTCATATTGAGAACGGTAGTACATAGTAGCTATGTGCTTTCTAAGTTTGGTTGAGGATAGCATCTCTGGATGCACCGCACCACATTCTTTGGCTACCTGGCGTAGGGAGTCTGATCCCCTGATGTGGGTGTCTGCGCCCGGGCGGGAAAAGAAGTATGGGTTATGGTCAGAGACTTGAACAGGCCCTTCTGTTCTCCTCAAGCACCTCCATCGAAGCAATCATTTCAGGAGTCAAAAGAACCGGCACTTTCCGACTTCTTTTCCCTTTAATTTCAATGCGTTGAAAATGCTGACACTGCTTTTTCTCTAAGTTGGGACAGTCCCAGAGCAATGTCAGAATGGATCCCAGTCTTACTTCCTTAAGGTAAATGGCTGTCAGTGGCATCTTTGAAATCCTCACCTTCCCTTCTTCGATTGAAAATGATGACCTCACAAAGAGTCAAAACTGCCAGTTTAGACCAATGCTTAGACGTTGGCTCACTTATTAGGGTTTGCACATAGTCAGGTCGACATACCTCAATATGTGCATGCATGGCTCTAACGTCCTCAGTCAGAGGGAGCAGGTCCGGAGTGTTCCACTTGGCTTGCCGGAGGGTCTGTAGGGCAGCAGAAGAAACACAGACGTCCCACCTCTTCTCAAAAAGCAGCCGGCTTCGTTGGAGGTTTTTAATAAATAGTTCATCAACACAATGCTCCATTTTTGAGTCACATTCAAGAATATCTGCTAGCTTTCTGAGGCTATGGCCGAGTTTGAGGGCCAAGGATGGAGTCTTGTATTGATTTGTTTCCTCATCATATCCAAGCCTTTAGCCTGGGCATCTTTCTGTGAAAGCCGGCACCTGGCCACATGCCTCCACAGCGACTTTCGCTTAAGCAATGCCCCACAGTCTATACAGTGACAAAAACTCACTGGATTTAACTGGGCAATTTGGCTGTTTAGCTGGGACTAAAGTTCCAATGCCGGCCTTTAAAACCTCAAAATTGTGCTCACGGTTTCCACTATTCCTGATCAAATCAAAGTGAAGTTTACGTGCTTTAGATTTCACAGGTAGAGCCAATGCTCTGGCTACGTCACTTTCATTTCCATGTTTTCTAGTCAAATGACGGGACATTTTGTGGCAGGACATTGAACAGTAGAGGCAGAAGTGTCTCTTGCTGTAAACTCGCCCCCCATTTTTCTTCTTTTGCAGCTGCATGATAACAATCTTATTTGCCTTTGGTTCGTCACTTTCCGAGTCTTGAAGAAAAGTGTTTTTGATTTTTCTTTTTCCATACTTTTTTACAGGTTTCTTCTTGACAGTTAAATCGTCAGAATCTGAGTCGACTTCATCAATTAGGGACTCTTGACTAAGCTGCACAAACAACAAATAATTTGTAATCATTCTATATAACAATTTGAAGTCATGACTTGTAGTCAGCACTTACCAGTGGTTTGTAAGCGTGCGCTTCAGTGTGCTCCTCCATGATTTCTTGCAGCCTAATGAACCACACACTTGCACCTTTTTCTAGCCTGACACCTGATTTCCTCTGTTGTGCTGCTCCATGATTGGCTCCAGCCTGCTGGACTGAAATTGCCCCAGTGTGCCCCTCCTTGATATCCCGCAACCCACCACCAGGGTTCCGACACATAACACACTTTTTTCAGGAAAGTAAACCTCCAGGGGTCCTTTCCATATTTTTACAGAGACTGCATAAGGACCGTTAGAAAAGCATTACCCATTGATTATTAAGCTTGGACCAGTGGACAGTGTGTGGACCACACACACACACACACACACACACACACACACACACACACACACACACACACACACACACACACACACACACACACACACACACACACACACACACACACACACACACACACACACACACACACACACACACACACACACACACACACACACACACACACACACACACACACACACACACACACACACACACACACACACACACACACACACACACACACACACACACACACACACACACACACACACACACACACACACACACACACACACACACACACACACACACACACACACACACACACACACACACACACACACACACACACACACACACACACACAGTATTTGCCCGTTTCTCCCATTAGCCTGTGTGACTTTCACTGCAGCCTGAGCATTCAGCCCTGAGGCCCCGACCCCCCTCTGGGCCCCTGGTGAACACTGTATTCTCAAGAAAAGGCCAAGATCAGCTCAGTCTGTAGAGTTTGGGCCTGAAGGTCATGGGTTCGAGCCCACCGTAAGACCTACTTCATGACTCTCACTGATGACTGCTGTCGTTGTGTCCTTGGGCAAGACACTTAACCCCACTTTGCCTGAAGCCCCCGCTGAAAGCTCTCAGCACCTGCAGGAGGATCAGTGAGGGGCTGGTGCTCTGACTGCCACCCCTGACCCAGACATGGATTAAGGGGAAGAAAATGGATGGATGTTGGAAAAGACGAGCTAATGCCGTTACTGCAAATGGCAAATACATTCTTGTATCTTTTATTAGTCTTGAATCTTGATTTGTAAAAAGTTGGTTAAATTACTACATTACTACTAATAATAATGACGTTAGACTTAAACTAGGAGTTTTAAAGAACTTTAACTAATTCAAACTTAAAATAAACAAAATAAAACGTTAATCCCATTTTTACACAAATGTTTGTTTTCAGCCTGTGACGAGTGGAAGCTTCTGCCAAAGCCCGACCTCCACCGAGACGTGAACCGCTTCGGCCATTCTGCAGTGGTCAGCAACGGGTGAGACACACACTGGTGAACCAGGACCAGACCAGGACCAGACCAGGACCAGACCAGGACCAGACCAGGACCAGACCAGGACCAGACCAGACCTCTCAGTCCTGTCTCTTGTACAGGTCCATGTATGTGTTTGCTGGTGTCTCTGCAGGTCCATGTATGTGTTTGCTGGTGTCTCTGCAGGTCCATGTATGTGTTTGCTGGTGTCTCTGCAGGTCCATGTATGTGTTTGCTGGTGTCTCTGCAGGTCCATGTATGTGTTTGCTGGTGTCTCTGCAGGTCCATGTATGTGTTTGCTGGTGTCTCCTCAGGTCCATGTATGTGTTTGCTGGTGTCTCTGCAGGTCCATGTATGTGTTTGCTGGTGTCTCTGCAGGTCCATGTATGTGTTTGCTGGTGTCTCTGCAGGTCCATGTATGTGTTTGCTGGTGTCTCTGCAGGTCCATGTATGTGTTTGCTGGTGTCTCTGCAGGTCCATGTATGTGTTTGCTGGTGTCTCTGCAGGTCCATGTATGTGTTTGCTGGTGTCTCCTCAGGTCCATGTATGTGTTTGCTGGTGTCTCTGCAGGTCCATGTATGTGTTTGCTGGTGTCTCTGCAGGTCCATGTATGTGTTTGCTGGTGTCTCCTCAGGTCCATGTATGTGTTTGCTGGTGTCTCTGCAGGTCCATGTATGTGTTTGCTGGTGTCTCCTCAGGTCCATGTATGTGTTTGCTGGTGTCTCTGCAGGTCCATGTATGTGTTTGCTGGTGTCTCTGCAGGTCCATGTATGTGTTTGCTGGTGTCTCCTCAGGTCCATGTATGTGTTTGCTGGTGTCTCTGCAGGTCCATGTATGTGTTTGCTGTAGGGGTGCAACGGTTTGAAAAAATCACGGTTCGGTTCGTACCTCGGTTCAGAGGCCACGGTTCGGTTCATTTTTCGGTTCATTTTTCAAAAAAAAAAAGTGTTGTCTTTTTAATAAACCCAGCTCATGTGGACTCGGCACCTGCTCTGACTGCCCCCCCCCCTGACCTAGAAATGAATTAAGGGGAAGAAATTGGATGGATGGAATATTCCATCCATCCAATTATGTCTATTTAACATAATTAATGAAAAACAACACAAAGTGCAACATAAGAAGGCACTTTATGAGGATATTTACCCTCATATATTACACCACCTTCCTGATTCTCCCAAGGAGGGGGTCCATTCTGGGCCCAGCCTCATTCACTGCATTTATTTAATTTTTGGCATTATCAGTTGTGACTGGGATATTAGTACTGGGCCTTTGTCTTCCATTCCTCCGCTGCTTGTGTCAGTACCTGTGCTGTGTCAGTACCTGTGCTGTGTGTCAGTACCTGTGCTGTGTGTCAGTACCTGTGCTGTGTGTCAGTACCTGTGCTGTGTGACTGTGTGACTGTCGTAGAGGGGGCGTGTCTGCAGCGCCAGACTTTTCATCTCCCAGTCTGCGGTGATGAAGTGAGCGGTTCCGCTCATGGATCTATTATAGGTTCCGCGGGACGTCCGAGCGTCAGTCGTGAGCGCAGCTGAGGATGCGCGGGAGAGTTGACTTTAGCCCGGTCTGACTGTGCGTAAAGGAGCTGCTTAAATGCCGCGACAATAAGCGGTCGTTGAGACGCTTTTTTCACTCATGTCTTTCTTGTGCCACAGTGCTTACACATCGTGACAGTTTTGTCGAATATTAATGATCAGTGTATTTACAGTGAAGCCAAAATGCTCTCATACTGGGGATTTAAATGACGCGTGGCTTTCAAGCATCTCTGTTCCTCCGCTCGCAATGACCGCGCTGTGTGTGGACTGAACAACGTGCGCACAACTTTTTTTTCATAAATCAAACCGCGGATTACGTCTGTACCGAACCGAAGACGTTGAACCGAACGGATCACGGATCAGTGATGAACCGTTGCACCTCTAGTTTGCTGGTGTCTCCTCAGGTCCATTTATGTGTTTGCTGGTGTCTCCTCAGGTCCATGTATGTGTTTGCTGGTGTCTCTGCAGGTCCATGTATGTGTTTGCTGGTGTCTCTGCAGGTCCATGTATGTGTTTGCTGGTGTCTCTGCAGGTCCATGTATGTGTTTGCTGGTGTCTCTTCAGGTCCATGTATGTGTTTGCTGGTGTCTCTGCAGGTCCATGTATGTGTTTGCTGGTGTCTCTGCAGGTCCATGTATGTGTTTGCTGGTGTCTCCTCAGGTCCATGTATGTGTTTGCTGGTGTCTCCTCAGGTCCATGTATGTGTTTGCTGGTGTCTCCTCAGGTCCATGTATGTGTTTGCTGGTGTCTTTGCAGGTCCATGTATGTGTTTGCTGGTGTCTCTGCAGGTCCATGTATGTGTTTGCTGGTGTCTCTGCAGGTCCATGTATGTGTTTGCTGGTGTCTCTGCAGGTCCATGTATGTGTTTGCTGGTGTCTCCTCAGGTCCATGTATGTGTTTGCTGGTGTCTCTGCAGGTCCATGTATGTGTTTGCTGGTGTCTCCTCAGGTCCATGTATGTGTTTGCTGGTGTCTCCTCAGGTCCATGTATGTGTTTGCTGGTGTCTCTGCAGGTCCATGTATGTGTTTGCTGGTGTCTCCTCAGGTCCATGTATGTGTTTGCTGGTGTCTCTGCAGGTCCATGTATGTGTTTGCTGGTGTCTCTGCAGGTCCATGTATGTGTTTGCTGGTGTCTCCTCAGGTCCATGTATGTGTTTGCTGGTGTCTCTGCAGGTCCATGTATGTGTTTGCTGGTGTCTCCTCAGGTCCATGTATGTGTTTGCTGGTGCTCTGCAGGTCCATGTATGTGTTTGCTGGTGTCTTTGCAGGTCCATGTATGTGTTTGCTGGTGTCTCCTCAGGTCCATGTATGTGTTTGCTGGTGTCTCTGCAGGTCCATGTATGTGTTTGCTGGTGTCTCTGCAGGTCCATGTATGTGTTTGCTGGTGTCTCTGCAGGTCCATGTATGTGTTTGCTGGTGTCTCTTCAGGTCCATGTATGTGTTTGCTGGTGTCTCTGCAGGTCCATGTATGTGTTTGCTGGTGTCTCTGCAGGTCCATGTATGTGTTTGCTGGTTTCTCTGCAGGTCCATGTATGTGTTTGGTGGTGTCTCCTCAGGTCCATGTATGTGTTTGCTGGTGTCTCCTCAGGTCCATGTATGTGTTTGCTGGTGTCTCTGCAGGTCCATGTATGTGTTTGCTGGTGTCTCTGCAGGTCCATGTATGTGTTTGCTGGTGTCTCTGCAGGTCCATGTATGTGTTTGCTGGTGTCTCTGCAGGTCCATGTATGTGTTTGCTGGTTTCTCTGCAGGTCCATGTATGTGTTTGCTGGTTTCTCTGCAGGTCCATGTATGTGTTTGCTGGTGTCTCTGCAGGTCCATGTATGTGTTTGCTGGTTTCTCTGCAGGTCCATGTATGTGTTTGCTGGTTTCTCTGCAGGTCCATGTATGTGTTTGCTGGTGTCTCTTCAGGTCCATGTATGTGTTTGCTGGTGTCTCTGCAGGTCCATGTATGTGTTTGCTGGTTTCTCTGCAGGTCCATGTATGTGTTTGCTGGTTTCTCCGGGGTCCTGCTGAACGACGTCCTGGTCTACAGACCTCAGAGCTGTGGGGCCTTCTCCTCGGAGCAGAGCTGTGTAGGAGCCGGCCCCGGGGTCCGCTGCCTCTGGTCCCTGGGCAGATGCGACTCCTGGTCCCCCAGCTGGTCCAACGGCAGCCTCACACCAGCAACATTCTGCCCCCCCAAACCTGGTAATGTCTCAATGTTAATGTATGAAGTCATGAAGGATTGAATGTAGTGTTTTTTATCCTAGCTCTGCACATAGTCCTGTTGGAGAATCCTTTCTTTATCCTAGCTCTGCACATAGTCCTGTTGGAGAGTACTTTCTTTATCCTAGCTCTGCACATAGTCCTGTTGGAGAGTACTTTCTTTATCCTAGCTCTGCACATAGTCCTGTTGGAGAATCCTTTCTTTATCCTAGCTCTGCACATAGTCCTGTTGGAGAATCCTTTCTTTATCCTAGCTCTGCACATAGTCCTGTTGGAGAATCCTTTCTTTATCCTAGCTCTGCACATAGTCCTGTTGGAGAATCCTTTCTTTATCCTAGCTCTGCACATAGTCCTGTTGGAGAGTACTTTCTTTATCCTAGCTCTGCACATAGTCCTGTTGGAGAGTCCTTTCTTTATCCTAGCTCTGCACATAGTCCTGTTGGAGAATCCTTTCTTTATCCTAGCTCTGCACATAGTCCTGTTGGAGAGTACTTTCTTTATCCTAGCTCTGCACATAGTCCTGTTGGAGAGTACTTTCTTTATCCTAGCTCTGCACATAGTCCTGTTGGAGAGTACTTTCTTTATCCTAGCTCTGCACATAGTCCTGTTGGAGAGTACTTTCTTTATCCTAGCTCTGCACATAGTCCTGTTGGAGAGTACTTTCTTATACTTTCTTTATCCTAGCTCTGCTCTGCACATAGTCCTGTTGGAGAGTACTTTCTTTATCCTAGCTCTGCACATAGTCCTGTTGGAGAGTACTTTCTTTATCCTAGCTCTGCACATAGTCCTGTTGGAGAATCCTTTCTTTATCCTAGCTCTGCACATAGTCCTGTTGGAGAATCCTTTCTTTATCCTAGCTCTGCACATAGTCCTGTTGGAGAATCCTTTCTTTATCCTAGCTCTGCACATAGTCCTGTTGGAGAGTACTTTCTTTATCCTAGCTCTGCACATAGTCCTGTTGGAGAGTACTTTCTTTATCCTAGCTCTGCACATAGTCCTGTTGGAGAGTACTTTCTTTATCCTAGCTCTGCACATAGTCCTGTTGGAGAATCCTGTCTTTATCCTAGCTCTGCACATAGTCCTGTTGGAGAGTACTTTCTTTATCCTAGCTCTGCACATAGTCCTGTTGGAGAGTCCTTTCTTTATCCTAGCTCTGCACATAGTCCTGTTGGAGAATCCTTTCTTTATCCTAGCTCTGCACATAGTCCTGTTGGAGAATCCTTTCTTTATCCTAGCTCTGCACATAGTCCTGTTGGAGAGTACTTTCTTTATCCTAGCTCTGCACATAGTCCTGTTGGAGAGTACTTTCTTTATCCTAGCTCTGCACATAGTCCTGTTGGAGAATCCTTCTTTATCCTAGCTCTGCACATAGTCCTGTTGGAGATCCTTCTTTATCCTAGCTCTGCACATAGTCCTGTTGGAGAGTCCTTTCTTTATCCTAGCTCTGCACATAGTCCTGTTGGAGAGTCCTTTCTTTATCCTAGCTCTGCACATAGTCCTGTTGGAGAATCCTTTCTTTATCCTAGCTCTGCACATAGTCCTGTTGGAGAATCCTTTCTTTATCCTAGCTCTGCACATAGTCCTGTTGGAGAATCCTTTCTTTATCCTAGCTCTGCACATAGTCCTGTTGGAGAATCCTTTCTTTATCCTAGCTCTGCACATAGTCCTGTTGGAGAGTACTTTCTTTATCCTAGCTCTGCACATAGTCCTGTTGGAGAGTACTTTCTTTATCCTAGCTCTGCACATAGTCCTGTTGGAGAGTACTTTCTTTATCCTAGCTCTGCACATAGTCCTGTTGGAGAGTACTTTCTTTATCCTAGCTCTGCACATAGTCCTGTTGGAGAGTCCTTTCTTTATCCTAGCTCTGCACATAGTCCTGTTGGAGAGTACTTTCTTTATCCTAGCTCTGCACATAGTCCTGTTGGAGAGTACTTTCTTTATCCTAGCTCTGCACATAGTCCTGTTGGAGAGTACTTTCTTTATCCTAGCTCTGCACATAGTCCTGTTGGAGAGTCTTTCTTTATCCTAGCTCTGCACATAGTCCTGTTGGAGAGTACTTTCTTTATCCTAGCTCTGCACATAGTCCTGTTGGAGAGTACTTTCTTTATCTCCTAGCTCTGCACATAGTCCTGTTGGAGAGTACTTTCTTTATCCTAGCTCTGCACATAGTCCTGTTGGAGAGTACTTTCTTTATCCTAGCTCTGCACATAGTCCTGTTGGAGAGTCCTTTCTTTATCCTAGCTCTGCACATAGTCCTGTTGGAGAGTACTTTCTTTATCCTAGCTCTGCACATAGTCCTGTTGGAGAGTACTTTCTTTATCCTAGCTCTGCACATAGTCCTGTTGGAGAGTACTTTCTTTATCCTAGCTCTGCACATAGTCCTGTTGGAGAGTACTTTCTTTATCCTAGCTCTGCACATAGTCCTGTTGGAGAGTCCTTTCTTTATCCTAGCTCTGCACATAGTCCTGTTGGAGAGTACTTTCTTTATCCTAGCTCTGCACATAGTCCTGTTGGAGAGTACTTTCTTTATCCTAGCTCTGCACATAGTCCTGTTGGAGAGTACTTTCTTTATCCTAGCTCTGCACATAGTCCTGTTGGAGAGTACTTTCTTTATCCTAGCTCTGCACATAGTCCTGTTGGAGAGTACTTTCTTTATCCTAGCTCTGCACATAGTCCTGTTGGAGAGTCCTTTCTTTATCCTAGCTCTGCACATAGTCCTGTTGGAGAGTCCTTTCTTTATCCTAGCTCTGCACATAGTCCTGTTGGAGAGTACTTTCTTTATCCTAGCTCTGCACATAGTCCTGTTGGAGAGTACTTTCTTTATCCTAGCTCTGCACATAGTCCTGTTGGAGAGTACTTTCTTTATCCTAGCTCTGCACATAGTCCTGTTGGAGAGTACTTTCTTTATCCTAGCTCTGCACATAGTCCTGTTGGAGAGTACCTTATCTAGCTCTGCACATAGTCCTGTTGGAGAGTACTTTCTTTATCCTAGCTTGCACTAGTCCTGTTGGAGAGTACTTTCTTTATCCTAGCTCTGCACATAGTCCTGTTGGAGAGTCCTTTCTTTATCCTAGCTCTGCACATAGTCCTGTTGGAGAATCCTTTCTTTATCCTAGCTCTGCACATAGTCCTGTTGGAGAATCCTTTCTTTATCCTAGCTCTGCACATAGTCCTGTTGGAGAGTACTTTCTTTATCCTAGCTCTGCACATAGTCCTGTTGGAGAATCCTTTCTTTATCCTAGCTCTGCACATAGTCCTGTTGGAGAATCCTTTCTTTATCTTAGCTCTGCACATAGTCCTGTTGGAGAGTACTTTCTTTATCCTAGCTCTGCACATAGTCCTGTTGGAGAGTACTTTCTTTATCCTAGCTCTGCACATAGTCCTGTTGGAGAGTACTTTCTTTATCCTAGCTCTGCACATAGTCCTGTTGGAGAGTACTTTCTTTATCCTAGCTCTGCACATAGTCCTGTTGGAGAGTACTTTCTTTATCCTAGCTCTGCACATAGTCCTGTTGGAGAGTACTTTCTTTATCCTAGCTCTGCACATAGTCCTGTTGGAGAGTCCTTTCTTTATCCTAGCTCTGCACATAGTCCTGTTGGAGAATCCTTTCTTTATCCTAGCTCTGCACATAGTCCTGTTGGAGAATCCTTTCTTTATCCTAGCTCTGCACATAGTCCTGTTGGAGAGTACTTTCTTTATCCTAGCTCTGCACATAGTCCTGTTGGAGAATCCTTTCTTTATCCTAGCTCTGCACATAGTCCTGTTGGAGAATCCTTTCTTTATCTTAGCTCTGCACATAGTCCTGTTGGAGAGTACTTTCTTTATCCTAGCTCTGCACATAGTCCTGTTGGAGAGTCCTTTCTTTATCCTAGCTCTGCACATAGTCCTGTTGGAGAATCCTTTCTTTATCCTAGCTCTGCACATAGTCCTGTTGGAGAATCCTTTCTTTATCCTAGCTCTGCACATAGTCCTGTTGGAGAGTACTTTCTTTATCCTAGCTCTGCACATAGTCCTGTTGGAGAATCCTTTCTTTATCCTAGCTCTGCACATAGTCCTGTTGGAGAATCCTTTCTTTATCTTAGCTCTGCACATAGTCCTGTTGGAGAGTACTTTCTTTATCCTAGCTCTGCACATAGTCCTGTTGGAGAGTACTTTCTTTATCCTAGCTCTGCACATAGTCCTGTTGGAGAGTACTTTCTTTATCCTAGCTCTGCACATAGTCCTGTTGGAGAGTACTTTCTTTATCCTAGCTCTGCACATAGTCCTGTTGGAGAGTCCTTTCTTTATCCTAGCTCTGCACATAGTCCTGTTGGAGAATCCTTTCTTTATCCTAGCTCTGCACATAGTCCTGTTGGAGAATCCTTTCTTTATCCTAGCTCTGCACATAGTCCTGTTGGAGAGTACTTTCTTTATCCTAGCTCTGCACATAGTCCTGTTGGAGAATCCTTTCTTTATCCTAGCTCTGCACATAGTCCTGTTGGAGAATCCTTTCTTTATCTTAGCTCTGCACATAGTCCTGTTGGAGAGTACTTTCTTTATCCTAGCTCTGCACATAGTCCTGTTGGAGAGTACTTTCTTTATCCTAGCTCTGCACATAGTCCTGTTGGAGAATCCTTTCTTTATCCTAGCTCTGCACATAGTCCTGTTGGAGAATCCTTTCTTTATCCTAGCTCTGCACATAGTCCTGTTGGAGAGTCCTTTCTTTATCCTAGCTCTGCACATAGTCCTGTTGGAGAATCCTTTCTTTATCCTAGCTCTGCACATAGTCCTGTTGGAGAATCCTTTCTTTATCCTAGCTCTGCACATAGTCCTGTTGGAGAGTACTTTCTTTATCCTAGCTCTGCACATAGTCCTGTTGGAGAGTACTTTCTTTATCCTAGCTCTGCACATAGTCCTGTTGGAGAATCCTGTCTTTATCCTAGCTCTGCACATAGTCCTGTTGGAGAGTACTTTCTTTATCCTAGCTCTGCACATAGTCCTGTTGGAGAGTCCTTTCTTTATCCTAGCTCTGCACATAGTCCTGTTGGAGAGTCCTTTCTTTATCCTAGCTCTGCACATAGTCCTGTTGGAGAGTCCTTTCTTTATCCTAGCTCTGCACATAGTCCTGTTGGAGAGTACTTTCTTTATCCTAGCTCTGCACATAGTCCTGTTGGAGAATCCTTTCTTTATCC